TTCACATTGGGCACACTCTGATATTATGTGGAGCGCAAAAGAATTGCGCCTCTCATGGAGCTTGAAATAATTGCACCTCTAGAGCACAAAATAATTGCGCGCCATAGAGCACAAAATAATTGCGCGCCATAGAGCGCAAAATAATTGCTCCCCCATAGAGCGCAAGTAATTGTGCCCTGGAGCGCAAAAGAATTGCGCCTTGTGCCCTCTGTAGAGCTTGAAATAATTGTGCTTCCCTGGAGCACAAAAGAATTGCTAGAGCACAAAATAATTGCACCCCATAGAGTGCAAAATAATTGCTCCCCCATAGAGTGCAAGTAATTGCGCCCTGGAGCGCAAAAGAATTGCGCCTCGTGCCCTCTGTAGAGCTCAAAATAATTGTGCTTCCCTGGAGCACAAAAGAATTGCTAGAGCACAAAAGAATTGCGCCACATAGAGTGCAAAATAATTGCTCCCCCATAGAGCGCAAAAGAATTGCGCCTTGTGCCCTCTGTAGAGCTCGAATAATTGTGCTTCCCTGGAGCACAAAAGAATTGCGCCCCTTGTGGAGCTTGAAATATTTGTGTCTCTACAGCACAAAATAATTGCACCCCCCATAGAGTGCAAATAATTGTGCCCCTTGTGGAGCTCAAAATAATTGCGCCTGTAGAGCGCAAAATAATTGCACAGGTTAGGACTCACCAATGAGACCAATGGGTGCAGTGCATCAGTGCCATAAATCCCTGCCAAAGTGGGCCAGGCATTTACTACAATTGGGGGGGCACATATTTTTTGTGCAAAATAAATGCCATAGGAACATAGTGACTTGGCGCCCACTCACATGCACATTCACATTGGGCATACTTGACATTTCATGCAAAAAGATAATGGGTGGAAATACAACTGGAAAATAACAGACACAGATGGATACTTAGTGCAGGTACAAGTGGTTTGGCACCCACTCACATTTGGTGAACATTCACATTGGGTGCACTGACATTTTGTGTGCATTCACATTGAGCGCACTCTGACATCTGGTGCCCATTCACATTGGGCACACTCTGACAATTGGTGCCCATTCACATTGGGCGCACTTTTCATGTATTCACATTGGGTACACTCTGATGGGCACACTCTGATGTTTGGTGCCCATTCACATTCCAACATTTCATGCATTCACATTGGGCGCACTCTGATATTTCATGCACATTCACATTGGGTGCTCTCGGATGGGTGTACTCTGACAGTTGGTTCACATTTACATTGGGCGCACTTTTCATGCATTCACATTGGGCACACTGACATTTCGTGCAGAAAAATAATCACTGACATTTTGTGCCCATTTACATTCCAACATTTCATACATTCACATTGGGTGCACTGATATTTTGTGCACATTCACATTGGGTGCACTCTGATGGGCACACTCTGGCATTTGGTTCACATTTACATTGGGCACACTCTGACATTGGTGCCCATTCACATTGGGCGCACTCTGACCTTTGGTGCACATTCACATTGGGCACAGCACACTCTGACATTGAAACAATGCTGGATACAGACTATTTGTGACCCTATCAACAGCACAAGGTACATACAGTAGTACTTGAAAGAATTGTGCGCCCTGTGGAGCACAAAATAATTGCACCCCCTGTGGAGTGAAAAAGAATTGCATCCCTTATGAAGCTCAAAATAATTGTGCCCCCCATGGAATGCAAATAATTTCGCCCCTCATGGAGCTTGAGATAATTGCGCCCCCTGTAGCACTCGGAATAATTGTGCCCCCATGGAGTGCAAAAGAATTGTGCCCCCATGGAGCACAAAAGAATTGCGCCTCTTGTGGAGCTTGAACTAATTGCACCTCTAGAGCACAAATAATTGCATCCCCATAGAGTGCAAATAATTGTGCCCCTTGCAGAGCTCAAAATAATTTCACCTGTAGAGCGCAAAATAATAATGGCATTGGTGCAAAGTGTGGGTTATTTTCAATAGGAGCCCCCATTATTGGCACACAACTGTGAATCATTTTCAATAGGAGCGCCCATTATTGGCAGGCGCCCACCTGTTCGGCCCAGCCATCACTATGGATGATTTGTTGAGATGTCGGCCGAGTCCGTTGGCCCCATATAGTATGAAGCCTTGTCAGGTTTGGTTGGTCCATTTGGTAAGGGCTAGGGTCACTGTCATATGTGTGCCCAGGACCTTCCTGTGGCTCGATTCGCTTCAACGTAGACTCGTTTGGATAGTGCTTCACGTCCCGAAAACGCTCCAAGAAACCGTTTACGAAACCGTCAACTCCTCGTGGAGGTACGTCTGTTTGTACTTTCGTGTTTTTGCACTTCTGCTAAACTCTGCCCAAGGCCTTCCTGTGCCTCGATTTCCCTCAACGTAGACTCGTTTGGATACTACTTCATGTCCCGAAAACGCTCCGACAAACCGTTTACGAAACCGTCAACTCTTCGTGGAGGTACGTCTGTTTGTATTTTTGTGTTTTTGCACTTATGCCCTACTCTACCCAAGACCTTCCTGTGGCTCGATTTCCTTCAACGTAGACTCGTTTGGACACTACTACACATCGTGAAAACGATCCAACAAACCGTCTATGAATCCATCAACCCTTCGTGGAGGTACGTCTGTTTGTAATTTCATGTTTTTTGGACTTGTAATAAACTATGCCCAGGACCTTCTTGTGGCTCGATTCCCTTCAGCGTAGATTTGTTTCGATACTACTACACGTCCCAAAAATGCTCCAACAAACCATCCATGAATCTGTCATCCCTTCATGGAGGTATGTCAGTTTGTATTTTCATGTTTTTGCCCTTATGGTGAACTCTGCCCAAGACCTTCCTGTGGCTCAATTTCCTTCAACATAGACTCATTTGGACACTACTTCACATCTTGAAAATGCTCCAACAAACTGGTTATGAATCCGTTGACCCTTTGTGGAGGTACGTCTGTTTGTAATTTCGTGTCTTTTGAACTTATGCTAAACTCTGCCAAGACCTTCCTGTGGCTTGATTCCCTTCAGTGTAGACTTGTTTTGATACTACTACATAGTGTTTGGAAGTCCGGTCTCGTGACTGGAAAAAGACCGTAACCAGACCGGACCAAGACCGCAAAAGACTGGACCTGCGGTTACGGTCTTTTATTTTTGAAATGTAAAGACTGCAAGAAAACCGGTTAACGTGAACCGGTCTTGACCGGTTTGGACCGGTCTTTTGTAGCCCCTTAAATACCCTTTAAAACGCACCCAAGAACGTATGATTTGGTAAAAAAACGAGAGAGATATGAATTAAAATGTAAATTACTTTTGGGAATAATAGATGTACCAGACTTATTTTATAGAAGCACCAATTCCTAACGGAACTTAACGTTCTTGGGCTCGTTTTGGAGCTATTAGAGATGTTAATAAATTTACCGATTCATAATTTTAAAATATTGGCCTAAAGACCGGTCATAAACCGGTTAAAACCGATGCAGACCGAAACTGGTCTATAGACCGCAAAAAACCGCGGTCTGCGGTCTTTTTGCAGTCCGGTCTGGTCTTTTGACTTCTGGGGAAAATGCAGACCGGTTACGGTTACGGTTAACGCCCCTGGGCATCAAAAAACCGGACCGAACCGGACTTTCAAACACTACTACTACATGTGTGCAAGTAGTAGAATAGCAGTGGGTACCCTTCACACCTTTAACACCAGTCTGTTCAATGGTGGCACCCCCACAGCACAGTTGATGGTAATTGAATCCATGTGCTTGGATCTAGGCACTTAGTATGCGTGCAATGAAGAGGAAATGGTGGGATTGGAGAACCCAGTGAATTACTCCACAAGACGATCATGGTCAAAGTGTTTGGACTGGCCAAGATGACAACAGGTGCATAGAGATGGCATGGTGAAGCTGGCGTATTGCTCAATGAGACAATTGTGGTAGATATGTGGCACTTGAATCATTTGGATTGGCCAAGACGACGATGAGCATGCAAAGGAGACAGATATGCAGTAGATATGTTGCACAAATTGTTTGGACTGGCCAAGACGAAGAGTGCTCAGCAAAACAAAAGAGAGGGTGCTGTGGCAAAGAGAAGGTGCCGTGGGAAGTTGAACTTGAAGAGTTAGATTTGATGACGCACGAACATTTCCTGATCATTTGATGGGGGGAAGTTTCGTGCGTCATCAGAATCTATGATGAATACTACCAAAGTTGCACAGCCTCAGTACAAATGCTCAAGATTCTATGATGCATGAACATTTCCTGATCATTTGATGGGGGGAAGTTTCATGTGTCATCGGAATCTGTGATGCCAAGAGGACAAGAGATGAGAGATGAGATCTAAAACTTACCCCCTGAGATCTGCCCCCCTGCATTTGTATATTGTGGCAAAGATTGTTTAAAAAGGAAATAGATCATGTCATCTACTTCAGAAATACATGCTATGGCTCAATTAGAGATTCTGTGCACCCTATAACATCCCAAAATCAACATTGAAATGACTCCCACTTATTTGTGAATATTTGTTACTGTTTAACCTGTATATCAATAGTCTTTTAAGTATCAGCATTGATCAGATGTAAAATTTATCATCTATTTCGTTTTTGCAACTGTTTATTTGTGTTTGTTTACCAGGAACGTAATATCACCATGACCACGGAAATGAGGAGTACCCATCACAAAAGAAATCATGTCATTTGGATCAAAACTCGCTGAGTTATACATGAATCTGTATTTATTACCGAAAATGGTAACTGATCTGAGATCTACTACAGTCGCGGACAGCCAAAGTCAACCAAGTTGATATCTCGGGAAGGACTAAATATTTTGACATTCTGACTTCAGATTCGAACTCAGGATGTGAAAATACGTCCAAAAACACCTCTTTGAAGTTTTTCCCACGAGAAATTGGGTTGGCCAAAATTTTGGACTACTTTTGTCATCCAGTAAGGCTCTTCAGCGGCTCTTAAGACCCCCTTGGCAGGTTCCCAATGCCGGAGGTGACCGAAAAATTTAGTGGCACTTGCCAAACATTGTAATTCTGATTGGAAATCAGTAATATACAATCTGCTAAAGGTGG